AATGTGAAAAGGTAAGAAATTCATTATTCAGTATTGATTATTAAATTTATTTATCTTTCAAAAGAAGAAACAATCCTTTTAATGAATATATCAATCTCTTGAGAAAGAAGACATCGGCCCCAAGAGGTAAAAAGGTTACTTAGAGTAGTCAATGTTTTATTTCACTCTAAATAAAATTATTATATTTAAATGATGAAATTTGTGAATTTGGCATTAAATCTTCAGTGGTCATTTGACCTCAAATTTATTTAAAAGGAAAATTTTCAACTTTTCTTTTTGTTATACTTGTGCTTTTTTGCAAATGAGAATTTATATAAAAATTTGTAATTCAAACCTTAGTTTTAAGAAATGGATGTGGAGGAAAAATGTAAAAAAAAAAAAAAAAGTTATTTTTTTGTTAATTAATAAAAACATAAATTGCCTACGAATGAAGATTTTGGACTTGATCTTAGAGCTACTAATCAATGTCATGATTAAAATGAATTATCATCATTGACAAATTCTAGACATTCTTTTGATAAAAAATAAATTGAGAAAAAATAATAAATTAATAAATTTAGTTTTGATTTCAATTGTGGGTTTTATGAGTTAGCATTAAATCCAAAAAATTTATCCAAATTCACATATATTTATAATATCAATATTTTTATATGTCTGTTCTTTATATTGTTAAAGTAAGAATTCTAATGAAAGTTCTATCATTATAAATTATAGCTTTGATTCATGTTTTCAACTATCAGTGCGAATGAAAAATAACAGACGTATTTAAAATGTTGTTTTGAAAAAAATTTATTTACAAATAAAATATGAAAATAAATAAATAAATTTAATTAACCATGAGATTTTTTAAATTGAAATTAAACCCTTAAAATCCAATCAAGTATATATATAATATAATATAATATAATATAATATAAATACTATCCACCTTTTGTTTTACTATAAAAGTTTTTATTATATAAATCATCACTTTAATTAGTATTTTAATTAAACAATAGCTGAATAAGAAGAGAAATAAAAATTTTTATTAACCAAGTTAAAATGTTGTTTTATGAGTAGTAAATTGCAAAGAATATGTAAAAAATAAATAAATTTATTATGGTTTTTATAATATTATCAATATTATATTAAACTCCTAGCTTTCATTCAAATTCATGCAACATTTTTTCAAATAATTTTTATATGTATTTTTATCTTTTTAGAAGAAAAAACTATAAAAAAATTTCTATTATTAAATCTTCCATTGAAGCCCATATTTTAAGTAATTATTGTACAATAAAACAAATATATCCATTTTTATTAATCAAGTTATTATTTTAATAAAAAATATTAAATTTAAAAATAGTAAAGTAAATAAATTTAAATATAATATTGATGGCAAAAAATTTTAACTTTTTTATTAATAATAATCTAATGTAAAAAAAAATCTCAAAAAATAGATAAAAAAATTGAAAGTAACATAAAATTTTTTATATTCATAATCTCAAATTATAAAGAATGCTAACTTTTTTAGATCTCTTGAAATTATAGCACGATAAATAATCAAATAAGTACAAAAGGATTTTATTTACTCATCACAAATAAATTAAATTAAATCTTTTAAATCTTTTTCACCATTTCATTCATAAAAATGATTGACTGTTAGTAAAGATTTTTGGAAGACAAAAAAAGATCAATAAAATAGAAATTATAACTTTAAATTTAAGATTAAAGAGTTAAAATGTTAAATATATTGAAAATAATTATCCATAACTACATAAATTTATATCATGAATGTAATTGCAAGTGTAACATTTTATTTTTAAATACTAAAAGCTTAAAGAAAAATGTCTTCATTTTAAAAATGCATTTATTTCACAAAATTTATCAATTTTATAAGAATACTGTACATGATATAATATAAAATTATAAGAATTATATGATTATTTTAGTCATACTATAATTAGTTTAATTAGTTTTCTCCATATAAACCTTTATATTTATCATTTTAATTAATTTAAGAAGTTTAAAAATAAAGGAGAAAATGACTTATCTGAAAGATGAATAATATTTTTTTTATTAAAAAAATCTATGCTACTACCTTAACATAAAAAAATCACACAATCACATAACCATTAAAAATAAAAATAAAAATCTTCGAAAGAAAATATAAATTTGTTAACAATATAAATGACTATAACAACATAAAATATTTATATTTTATAGTTTAATTATCACAAGAAAATTATGAAACAAAAAGCAGTGAAGAAAAAATTCAATAAATAGATTAAAAGGAAAAAAAAGAAAAAGAGAAAAAATGGGATAACAAAAGAAATCAAAATCTTGCCAAAACATTAAAACTTGAGTATCACCTTTCATTGTTAATTAACTCATACATTACCAAAAATTTAAAATCGTTGTAAAAAAAATCAAACACATTGAAAAAAAAATAGAAAAAGAAATAAATTTTATGTTAACTTGATTCCCTACAAATAAAATATCAATTTGTACTTTAAAAATAAAATAAATTATGATATAGTTGACAAATCAAACATTTCAATCCTCATTGCAACAACTTATTTATCGCTTAACAAAATTTAAAAGCCATAAGCAAAAATAGGTTCTTAATACGTCTCAAATGCCAAACATATATATTTAAATAACAAAAACATTGATCATGGATCATATAAAAAATAAAAAATTATAAAAATGCAAACATAAAGACAATGTTTACAAATTTCATGATTAGTAATAACGCTAAACACAAAAAAATTAAAAAATAAAATATATAAAAATTTGAAAGAATTTATGTAATCCAAAAAAAAATCAGAAGTCATAAATAAATAATATAAAAAAAAATTCATGCCAATGGTTAACTACAAAATAATAAAATAAATTAAAAATAAGAAAATAACATAAGAAAAACATAGAAAAAAACATATGTACCTTTTCATCAATCAACATCATTTTTATACTAATATGTTGTTTAGTCTTAAAATAATAAATATCTCACAATCAACAAATACAAAATTTGATCATCTAATCATCTTTTTAAGAGATAATCATCAATCATGGTATATTCTAATTTGTTAATAGCTAAGTTTAAATTGTAAGAAAGAAAAAGAAACACAATAAAAAAAAGAAAATTAAAAAAACATAAGAAATTATTATAATAAAAGATAAAGATACAGCAAATGAAATATGAGATAAAATACCTATTAAAACTTGAGATTCTTTAATTTGAAATTGAAAAATAGTAGGTGATCTATACATTATATAAAAGTGATCCCTCAATTCAAATAGTAAAAGTATGTTCAATTAATGCTTCTATTAAGCGAGGTATGTCACTTAACAATTGATTCCCCCAATTAATCAATAATATGTGTAATGGAAATTTTAGAAATTGAGTCTTTAATGATTTAATGAGGAGACTTTGGAGAATTGCAATATATATAAATATATATATATTTGTTTTGGTTGGATAAAAGTGGTGTATTTTAAATTTTTAAATAATCTTAACATATAATTATTTTTATTTTTATTTTTATTCAATCAATTAAATGAAATGAGGTTACCGAATTTGAGATTTTTGGGACTTCTAATCTTGACAGTAGTCCTTTCTTTTTTGTTGGGTGAGCTTAGGGTGTGAGATTTTGATTTGTGAGATATTTGGGTCAGTGGGTTTTGATTTTAATTGATTTAGTATTCTATTATAAAGTTGAATTTTTTTTCTTTTCAATTTTATGTTATATTGCAAATATAATATATTTTTATATATAACTATATAAATAAATAAAATATTATTATATATAAATTATCTAATTTATTAATGAATTGGGCTTTACTTGGACTAGAACATGGTGAGTTGGCTTTTAATTAAATTTGAAAATAGAAATGTGGATGTTTGTTTGATGATGTGGGATTGTAACTGGATATGTTTTTTTTTTTTCTTTTTTATGAGTTTTGAGTTTTTATTATTTATTATTTATAATAAAATAAGTTAAAAATATAATAATGATAAATATAAATATAAAAATATATAAAAACAAAAAAAAAGTTAGCTTACTTTTCTTTTTTCTTCTTTTGTTTTAAATAATTTTATAAAAAAAAAATTTATAATCTACAATAGATTAAAAAATCATACATTTGATCAAATTAATAATTAATAAAAATACTATACTCATAATATAATATGAAAAATTAATAATAAAATATAATCACAATATATGAAATATAGATTTAGTTTTAAAGCTTTCATAATATTTTTATTATTTTATATTAGAATAATTATAAATATATTCAGAATAATAAAAGAATTTGATTAAAAAAAAAATTACCTCCAGCAAAGCGGGGGCTAATTCTAGTATGTATAAAATGAGAGAGAAGGTCGTCCTTAATTTATATAGAGTCCAATATATCCACATTAGGTCTCTATCTGTGGGGAAATATTTCTATCCTGCCGTGAACATATGTCTATTTATCACATAGATATTAGACGGATGCCTTGAAAGAAACATGGAAACAAACATATATTATAAAATCACCTTAGACATATCAAATACAAAATCAATCCAATAAAAAATTGACACTAAAAAATAATTAAATTCTCTTATATAATTATAATTATTTTGCAACAAGTGCAGTATTAAAATCCCAAATCAATCTAATTTAGACTGTCCGCGTGAACTCTCTCAATCATGCTTTTTCTTTCTTTATTAGTGTATTAATTATCTTAGAAATAAGCTTACGTGTACAAGCTACATTACTATAGCTCTCTCTGACGTGGCAATAACCCCTTCCACTTCACCTTGGACAAGTTCAAACATTCATAACAGCACGAAACCGGCCTCCGTTTCCCCCTAAGATATCACTATACAAGTAGCCAAAGTTTTACTAAATAATTTTCCTCACAAATTAAATTATCCCCTTTTTTTTCTATTGATTGACTTGCTCTCTTTAAATACTTCTTGTCCCACTTTTGTTCATTGCTGGAAAATACAATAATAATGCTATTAATTTTTTCTTCTTCTTCTTCTTCTTCATCCACCCACTATTTCCTTCGTCCTCTCACTTTCATATTACTTTCAATTTTCATTATCGTCATTCAAAATTCAAAATGAATTCATCAGATTTTCCTGCAAGTAAATCGCCTAGGAAAGAACTTCAGGGTCCTCGTCCGGCCCCTTTGAAGGTCCGTAAAGATTCGTACAAGATCAAGAAACCACCGTTGGCACCACAACCGGTGCAACAACAACCGGTGCAGGTAAGGCCTCCGGTAATCATCTACACTGTGTCACCGAAGGTGATCCACACAAACCCTAGCGACTTCATGAACCTAGTTCAACGCCTTACAGGCTCAACATCATCGTCTTCGGGATCTTTATCGCTTCCACCATCAACATCCAATCATCCAATATCCAACGATACAAGCGGTGCAATCTCACCAGCAGCAAGGTTTGCTACCATAGAGAAGACAAAGTCACCAGAATGGAAAAAGCAACAAATTAGTGAAGAAAACTTTGGGTTAGTACAAGGCATAGAGATGAATCCAGGGGTTGAAAGGACAAGTTTCTTTCCTGGGATTTTGTCTCCAGGGCCAACCTCACTGCCTCCAATATCACCGAACTTCTTCTCACCGCCATCTGATCCAAACTTATTCAGTTTCTTCCGTGATTTGAGTCCTGTTCTTCATGGTAACAGGAATTTCATAGAAGGTAGTTTCATGCCTAGTCCTTCAAGCTTTAACATTTCACCTTTTTTAATACAATCTCCTACTACTCCATCTATAGACCTTTTCAACAATTTCTTTGACCTTTAAAAATTTTCTTTTTCTCTTGGCAAGAGATCAAAGAAATAGAAATTCTTTTCTCTTTGATTTGTGATGTTTGTTAGAGTGTCGATTGCATTTTTCTGCAACTTGAATTCATGGCGAAAGTGGAGGAATAAAGTGGAAATTTAATGTTTATTTGGGTAGGTTCGCTGTTGGAAACTTCTTTAATGGCCTTAGCTTTTTATTCTTGTTCCAAATTTAATTTGGTGGGCCATCTGACAGAGCAGTTCTGGCTCAAAAATCCTGTCATTCCCATCATTTTTTTTTTCTGATATAATTTTTTTGTCTCATATGTAGCAGCAATGGTCATGTAATTTGAAAGCATTAATCAATGTTACATTTTTCTTCTTGCAGTTTATATATTCTTTAGCATCATAGCTTTCTTGCAAATCTTGTGTTTAAATTTGTTAAGTTTATGTCAATTTAATTGGTTCTAGCTTGGCAGATACGAGTGCAGCAAAATTGCAGTATGTTTTAGTTTACTTCCATTCTATTATTCTTATACAATGAATAGTCTGCTTAATTTAGGATGGGAAAAAAGAAATCAAGTATGAGATAGAATGCATGCAGAAGAGATCTTTGAGTACAGCTCTTTTTTTTAAAAGAAAAAAAGCTTTTTAATTTACCAAGAACACACAAAAAAATTTTGTTTCCTTCAAATTTTTTTTTCTAAATTAAAGGAGCTATTTTCTTTGTTTTGGTATTTTAAAAGTTTAAAGTGAGGAGAAATTTTCTTATTTTATGATCATGACATATTGTAGATCTTAAAATAAAAATTATATTGGATTTACAGATTGTCTATCAAATAAAAATATAAATAACAAATTAACATAAAAAAGCCATTAAATAATTATAAATAAATAAATAAATAATAAAATGTAAAGTATATATTAAGCAATCAATCCTCCCACCATCTACAAAACAAATATATATATGTATATATGTATGTATGTGTATATATACATTCATACATATATAAATGAAGGTAATTACTTGTAAAATTTAAGGATAACGTATGGATCAATTTCAATTTAAAGTTACAAGTCTCATTTTTTTTTTTTATTATCAATTGCTTACATATTTTAACAAAAGATTATTTTTATTAGAAAAAACAATAAAACCAGGGAGTGCTTTAATGTTATAGGGTTGGCTGTCACAATCAAAGTTCAATACTAAAAACCACTTTAGTTTTCTGACCTAATTGTTTCTTATTCCCACCATTTCATTCGTTGATATATTTTCATTTGGAAATCAATACCTTTCTTCAAAAGAAGGTATTGAAAGATATTGGTTAGAGATTACATCATGATAACTATTTTAAGAAAATTAATTTAATTATAAAATTAACGTCACAAAGTTATCTCCAACTTGACTACAACCAAATAAAACAAAACCTTGGATCCAAGTGCAAAGGTTTGCCTCTAGAAGACCAAGGTTTTTTATTTTTTATATTTGAGGTTCTTAATCTTGATGAAATATTAAAAATTTAATATTTTCTCAACCAATTATACAATATGACTAAAATTATATATAATAATTTCTAAATTTGGAATTTGATGGGGCAATCACAAAGTCAAATATAACTCTTCAATTACTGGACTAATCTTTTTATAATTATCTCTTTATTATTTTATTGCAAAAGTTTGATGGGAGTAGTTAAATAAGAGCACGTTGAGTTAGAAAACACCATCCCTTCAAAGATGAGATTGACATTATTTTATTAATCAGAATATGACAAAAAGTTGGATATTGGTTGGCAAGACATAATTCGGCTTTAAATATTAGTGATATATTTTTGTATGATTTGTGTTTTTTTTATCAACCTAAAACACCCAAAAGATTGAATTAATTTATAGGCTGAAAAAAAAATTACAAGAGTAGTCGACTATATATGGTGAAGTTGGGACTTAGACTATTTCAAATATCTCCGTTTGGAATTCATTTAATTTGATGATTATGATTTGAAGAAGATACCAGCCGTTCAATTTACCAACAACCAGAAGCAATTCATTTATTTTGAATTAATTAAAGTTTTCGGTAGTTAATATCACAAATGATCTTTAACTTATAATAAAATATTAATATGATATTTAAATTTTAAAATTTTTTAATATGATATATAAATTATAAATATATTAATTATTATGATGTTTAAAAAATTATTTATCCATCAAATTTATTATTTAAAATTAATTATATTAAAAATAAATATTATATTAAAAAATTTTAAATTTTATATATTATATTAAATATTTTATTATAATTTTAAAATGCGACATCATCCTTTAAAGTTTTCCCTTGAATCACTAGGTTGACTATTTCTAGGTAGCCACGGATACGTGCAATAATAACACAACTATTTTCTAAGATTTTTAGGCTGCGTTTCGATGAGATCCAACGAAAAAAGGGTTTCAAATTTAATCATTGGGAGTATAGTGCAAACCCTTTCTAAACTGCATTGTTTGACCAAAGATTGTCCCTGAAATGAAACAGTAAGATTTTTACTTTTAAAAAATACACTTTTTTTCTGATGAGACTTTGTCCTTCTGAGAAATTAGAAAGGAGAATGAGTTTAAAATTTCGAGATTTCGAGTTTAAATTTTATCATAAATTTGATCTAAATTTATATTATATTTATCTAATTATATATTGATATTGGTTGATAAGATTGATATATTTGTTTGATGTAATTTATTGATTTTTTATATATAATTTTTAAAAATATAAATATAATTTCTCTTGTAGTAATAACTGTCGTAATGTCTAGATCCGGGGATCTATCGCTAGACATTGACTTCAGGGAGTCGCCACCAATCTTTTTTATCTAGGTGCGATTGACCACCTATGGAATCTGTCTTTTTAGGGAACACCTAAGTTTAAGGGTCCCTAAAAGAATAGGTTCAGGTCTACAAACCAGAACAAGGTTTGGGAATTCGGTTACGTGTGAGGAAGGTTATAGCACCCTCACAACGCCCATCAAAAGATGGTACCAGCTGAAATTTGTGTTATCTAAAAGCCTTAAAATTTTACCAAGTAATTAATTATTGAAAATTTTTCTCAATTGACCTAATACTTTTAGCAGAAAATTGAGAAAATTCCCTCACCTCAAGAGTATGCAAGAAAAACTACTGTTTCACTTGCAGAGGCTCCGTCGTCGGATTATTTAAAGAAAAAAAAAACAAAATCAAAATTAAGATAGAAAGAAAGGAAAGAATGAATTTTTTTTGTAGGGAAAATTGATACTTTCAACTTTTCCCCAAAAATATTTTTTGAAAATTTCGATTTTCAAGGAAAATTGATACTTTCAACTTTTCCTCAAAAACCCTTTTTTTTGAAAATTTATTTCTAAGGAAAATTGATACTTTCAACTTTTCCTCAAAAACTCTTTTTTTGAAAATTTATTTCTAAGGAAAATTGATACTTTCAACTTTTCCTCAAAAACCCTTTTTTTTTTTAAATTTATTTCTAAGGAAAATTGATACTTTCAACTTTTCCTCAAAAACCCTTTTTGAAATTTATTTTTAAGGAAAATTGATACTTTCAACTTTTCCCTAAAAATATTTTTTTTTGGAAAATTTTATTTTTATTTAAAAAAAATAAAATAATAAAAAGATAAATAAAAATAAAAATAAATAAAGAAAAGTAAAACAGAAATAAAAAATAAAATAAAGATAAAAAGAATATTAGATAAACCTAATCTAATAAATAAATAAATAAAACCTGGAGCGGCTCGGCTATCGGCTCGGCTCGGCTCGGTTCAAGGTAGGGAAACGGCTCGGGGGAGCGGCTTGGCAGCTTGGCGCGGCTCGGCTCGGCTCGGAGGACGGGCAGCATGCGCTGGTCAGGAAAGCGGATCGACGCTCGGATCGGGTCGGGTTCGGAAAAACGCGCGGATCCTCTGGTTACTTAAGGCCAAAACGACGTCGTTTTGGGAGGGTATAAAAGGCAATCCCCTTCGTTTTTTCAGCAGAACGCTCCTCCCTCTCTCTCTTCTTCCCTTTTCCTCTCCCTTCTCTCTAAAAACTGAAGAACACCGGTGCCGGATTCTGGAAAATATCTCCGAAATCTGGAAATTTCGCCGGACGTTGGTCGGAAGATCGCCGGTTTCTGGGATTCTTCGTTGGAAACTGGGCTGGTCGTCGAAAACTTCAATGTTCACTGGAATTGTTGCCGGAAAATTCAAATTTCGCCGGAATTTTCGTCGGAATCTGAAAATTTCTCAGAAATTTCCAGAAAAATTTTTCGCCAAAAATCTCTAAAAATTTTTTCTCACTCCCAGAACACTCCTAAACTTTTCCTAGCTTCCTATACGCCTCCTTTTCTTTCAAATCAATAGCTTTGCTTACTGTTTTTTGTGTCTTTCATTCTGTTCCAGGAGGTGCTTTATATAGGGATTGATCAGGAGTTTCTGATCAATCCCAATTCTCCTTTGGACGGGAATTCAATCTTTGAATCCAGTCTGGACTCTTCTGATTGAATTCTCATTCCCAGTGGGATTCTTCAACTTTCAATCCCAGCCCTCCAAAATCAAATAAATAAAAAAAATAGATAATTTAGAAAAAAATAACAATCAGATAATAAAAAAGAATCAGATAAAATTAACAGATAATTTAAAAAAATAAAATAAGATAAACCCAAAAATATATTAAAAAATAATAATAATAATAATAATGATAATAATAAATAATAATAATAATATAATAATAATATATAACTATATACATATAAATATATTCTAAATAAAAATAAATAAATAAGATATACAAAAAAGAAAAAAGAGAAAAAAAAATACAGGATAAAAATTCAATTGGGCCTTACCCATTTGGGCCAGGCCCAATTGATCTGGGCCTGGACCCAATTGGGTGTCTACAGCTGCCCCTCTTTGCACATTTTCTGTGAAACAGAAATTGCGCAAAGACGTAGACACCCAATCTAGACTCAACTCAACATTGTCATTTTTTTGTTTTTTGTATATATATATTTTTTTATGTTTTTTTGTTTTTTTATTTTTTTTTTGTTTTTTTTTTATCAAAGCTCCTCTAAATAGAGGCACCACGACTTTGGAAAATAAATTGCTCCTCTAAACAGAGGCACCACGACTTTGGAAAGTAAATTGCTCCTCTAAACAGAGGCAACTAACTTTGAAAAGTAAATTGCTCCTCTAAACAGAGGTACCACGACTTTGGAAAAGTAAATTGCTCCTCTAAACAGAGGCAACGAACTTTGAAAAGTAAATTGCTCCTCTAAACA